CCATATATTGAGTACAAAAAAGTCGGCTAACGTAATGCTATGTCTTAAAACTTTTCCAGATACACAGGGTTATCTGTACTCAGAGTAAATTTTGAGGTGAAAATGCAGCCATTTTATCCAAAGGGTCCACATGAACCTTCAAAGCATAAACCATAGTATTTGCAACACAGTTTGCAGAGGTGGATTTAGGGGGGGGGGGGGGCCTGGGCCCCCCTTTTTGGGGAAAAATTTGGTTGGTTATATAGGGATTCACTGAAGCATGACTTGAGCGGGCCCCCTCTTAGGCAGTCAGTGGGCCCCCACTTGTGAAAAATTCTAGATCCGCCACTGGTTTGAGTTTTTATTTCACTCTGTACTCATAATACTTGTAATGGGCACTACAAAGTACTACTTAGAAAGCAAAATAAATTTGATGTAGGTAGTCTAAAAGATAACATTTCTCCACCTTTTTGCTATTTACTAAAAATTGGTTTCTAAAGCCGCAATCACATGTAGAACAGTGGTTGCCAATCTGAAATCTTTATTAAGAATTTGAAAAATTATGTAGAATTCCTTATATATACATGTTATAAGCTTAATATTACCCTTGCATATGAACAGTCTGATTGAAACCAGCCCCCACTATCTACAAAGGCAAATTGATAGTGGGGGCTGGTTTTAATCAGACTGGCATATGAAAACCACGTCACAAAAGGGTTTCAGAGGAAATAAAAATAAAATCCTCCCACCCGCCCCATTTTTTTCAAAAATTTGGATGAAAATCTACTAATTAATTTTAGTTGGCCTTATACAGGTCAGGAATAACCACCAATTGGTGGATTATACCTCAATTGAGGTATAATCCACCAATTGACATATATTGGTATAGACCAATTGACGTATAATGCAAGTTTTTTTGTTATAAAATGCTAGTGTGAGATAGGAGCATCATTTTGCAACTTACAACCTATTTTATGACCATTATTGAGTCCTCCGAAAGTTTTAGTTTTGTCAAAGCCTGCTGCATTTCTTGAGAATGCATGTGTACAACAATTCTTTTGTTGAAACATCTGTACTATTGACCATGATTGACTTTTAATAATGAAAGTCAAGTACATGTATTAACAAAGAGCTCCATTCACCTGTGGAGTTGTACTCATAATCACATGACTGCAGACAGTATTGATGTCCATTGACAGGTGATTAGTGGTAAATTTGCCAATCAAGAATTGACAAGATAACAATAGAAGAAACTGCAAATACAATTATTGATTAAATGCAATATGTTATGTCACTATACTAAACTAGGAATGTTTGGCATGTTTTCATACAATAATATGGTTTTAAGAAAACAATGCTCCATTTTGGTTGAATAATTTGCTTTGAAAAACAAAGAATTATACGTCAATTGGTCTATACCATTATATGTCAATTGGTGGATTATACCTCAAATGAGGTATAATCCACCAATTGGTGGTTATTCCTGACCTGTTATATGGTATCCATAGACCATATCTAGAATTGACTTATGACTTGTTGTTACATTGATCTTTATTTCATTTATAGTAGATGTTATTGTTGAATATATATTATTGTCTGTACTTGGATCACGCCTCTATTGTGCTCTTTCCAATAAAATTTTGAATTGAATTGAATATTACAAAATTCTTGGACATGTTTTAACCATATAATACCAGATAGATGTATAGTTCTTTGGGAAAATATTCTTCAAACAATATAAATATGTGCCCTTTTGTACTAAGAAGTGGTTTTTACAAAAAAACATTTTTTTATCACTTGAAATGTACCCCTCATAAAAGGGATAGTCATTACATTGAGGGGTTGTTCCCAACACAGGCACTTGTTTCTATCCATGGGAAGCCCCACTATCAACTCGTAAATATACGTTGATAGTGGGGCTTCCCATGGATAGAAACAAGTGCCTGTGGTTCCCAACCTGTTTATATGAAAAGTGTTCATAAGAATTATATTTATAAAAAGCTAACTATGTACCAAAATGCTGAAATTAAATAATGTGTCAACGAAGTTACTGACAACAAGAGTACTTTAACGATAAAATATTTCCATGTACAAACCTCTGCCAGGGACGTAAAATGAAAAAAAAATGTATGTCACGTGATCAATATGTGGGTCTACTCGAAAAGAATAGTAAGCTGGTTCTCGGCTGACTACTACACTTTGTTCATAGTTTGAGTGTAGCGTAATACAAGCGGATTCCAGTTTAAAAGAATAGAATAGAATAGAATCACACTCACAGGCACTTGTCTCAGAATTTTTCCGCCTATATACCTTAATATAACGTTATATTAAGGTATATAGGAAATTTTTTTTCTGAGACAAGTGCCTGTGGATAGAATAGAATATTTTTATTTCCCAAATTACAGAGCCCATAAAAAGCATAAAATCAGTTGCAATTTGTTTGTACGTATTTATGCTTTTATCTTGGTGTGGAGGGGATATATAAATTCAGGGGTAGGGTACCATACCAATTAAAGTGAGGGACAAAACTATACGCCCCTCTCCCATTTTGTCATTTTTTTTTTAAATATTAAGTGACTACGAAAGAGGACATTGGCTTATTTCTAGACTATTAGACTATTATGATATAAAATATGGATTACATGTAAAGGTCTTTTTTTTGCTTGCCACTATAAGAAATCCCCCCCCCCTTTTTCTCAACTTTTCTAGTCCTACTTCACTGATATGCATAAAAGGAATAAGCAAAAATTTTACTCGCACATAGCTGATAGAATTGAGAAGCGCTAGTGTTAACGCAAAATCCCTAATTTATTAAAGACTAAATATCTCCAAACATCGTGATACATAAACCAGTACGCATTTTTTTTGAATTTTTTTTTTGTGTTTAATCTTTTTCATTATGGTGCAATCGTCTCAAATTTGTGTAATTTTCTAATTAAAAACGTCGTACAAGTCAGATACAAAACAAAAGCAGAGACATATATACATGTATATATGTCTCTGACAAAAGTAACAAAATAATCTGGATGGTAACAACCAGCCGTTATTTTCTGCACTTGTAGTCCGGTCAAGGCCCTCGGCTATCGCCTCGGACTTTACCTGACTACTCGTGCAGAAAAAGTATACGGCAACGGTTGTTAACGGCCAGTTTTACCTTTGTTCTGTATCTAATACTAAAACCTAAAACCATGAGGCTCCAAGAACCTGCATTGTACTCTTGTAAACTATGCATGCTATTGGCAAAAGCATTTAAGTACATATCTTTGTAAGCATCATGCAGTGGGGGATACATGACAATGTCACTAAATTCATTTTTTTGGTCCTAAATTATAATGAGAACACAGGTAGCTAGATGAGTAAAATTCATTATTTTCCCTGTATAATGTGCATTGCCATGGCAACAGCTACACAACATTTTGCCTGAATTATGAGTTTTTAAAGTACGATGGAAGTAAAGTTCATCAATTAAAACAATATGGATTTTAACAAAGTTGACTAAAACACAAAACACCACACAATTCAAAAATGTTAAAAATTCAAATTTACTTATAGTTTATTTCCATAGCAGCTAGCTATTTATAAATAAATTAAAATTTTATAATAAAAAACTTCAAAATCGCCAAAGGATCTTCCCAGATGTAAAAAAAAATAGACTAAGTGCATGTATCTCTGACTTTAGTTTATGGAATCCAAGTCTTTGTAACTTGAACACTTACAGTAGTGTAAATATATGGCAAGAAATGAACCAAAAAATTATTACTTTAAAAATTTCCAGATTTATAATGAGATTGATTACAAATATGTTGTTATACAGAAAAGACATAAAGACATATTGAGGGTGGGTCATAAATATCAAGGAAATATATGTTAAATGAGGCATGCCAAGAAATCCTCGCTAAAAATTCCGGTCGACCTCCCACGGCATCCATTAGAAGTTAAAGATCTGATTTCATTCAATAAATTAATTTATGACCCACGTGTACGTCTCACTTAAAACACAGCCATATACCAAATGGTCAAAATTAATCATCCATGTAATTTGCTCTATGGGATGTTTGCAAAATTTCAACGGAGGCAATTTCTTGACATGGATGGTATGAGTGCCAATCAGACAACTATCCATCCAAGTCACAATGTGTAAAAAGTAAACAATTATAGGTCAAAGTACTGTCTTCAACGCGGAGTCTTGGCTAACACCGAACAGTAAGCTACAAAGGGCCCCCAAAAGACTAATGTAAAACAATTCAAACAGGAAAACCAAAGGTCTAATCTATATAAAAATAGAAACGAGAAACACTTATGAACCACACCAACAAACGGCAACCACTGAACAACAGGCTCCTGGCTTAGGTCAAGTGCATACAAATGCAGCGGGTTTAAACGTTTTAACAGGCGTATATAGTCCGTTTTTTAGCGAAAGCATGGAAGATATCGAACATATTATTTTAAAGTACACGACAATATGACATATCAGAAAACATTTTATTCAAAATCTAGAATATCTAGCGGAGAAGGTGAATTGCTCCTTATTAGAACATATTCAGAGTGATTATGGTAAAACTGACTGTAAAACAGTTAATTACAGTCGATACTTGACATATTATACATATCATTAGATACCAATGGAACTATAAACTAATGTGATTTTACCTGGAAAGATGATTCAGGCTAAATACGAATACCCAGAGGAGTTTGGGGCAAAGACACTTGTCTCAGCATTTTTTCCCCTATATACCTTAATATAACATGTTATATTAAGGTATATAGGAAAACAAATTTCTGAGACAAGTGCCTGTGGTTTGGGGGCTAGTTGTCGATTTAATCCTTTCAGTCGTTTGCCTATTATTTTTAAAATATTTTCTAAAGGTTAAGTTGGAAATCATTCCACTTCTTTCTTTTATTAAAAAAAATAGAAAGAGGGAGAATATATAAAATATACATTAGCCATGTATATATATACAAAGAAGCATCAAATAAATGCGGAAATTATGCGCTACTGTTACCAGTATTTTTTCAACTTTTAGACAACCAGGAAGTAAAATTTCAAGAGTTCAAAAACAGTAACGTTAGCTTTAGAAAAGACCCAAACAATAACAACTTTTGGAGAATGTCAGAGATACTAGAAAAAAGATTCCCAGCAACTGACATAGTAGTTCTTTCACGAGGAGACGGATGCAAACTAGTTGTGCATTTGTTTGGTAATTAAAGCCACGTGTCCATCTTTTTAGTTTTACTTTTAATTTTAGATCATTTTATCTTGGATTCTGTAAGCAACTGACACATCCAGTACACTAACCTATTCATATATTTTAAATACCTAAAAATACATTATTACCCTATCATATATTTTTAGAAAAAATAAGACCTATAGATGAAATACATCAGCAATTTCCATGATTTCAAGGGAGTTAAAATATATTTGGCAAATATCTGATGAACGTATTTAACCACATCTTTACAAGATCTTTAATAAATACTAGCACCTGATTCAGTAGTTTCATACACCTATGATATAATCAGCAACCTTATTGTATATTTAAATAAATGTCTTGCCTTTATCATTATATTATGAAGCTTGAAATGACCTTCTGGAGATTCTATATTATTCTTGGCCTATGATAATTTTTGTGGATTTAGTGGGAACAGGTAAACCACAAATTTAAATGTTCAACTAATTACAAATCTTTTATAAGCTAGTATGCATATTTTGGCAAAGCCACGAAATCAAATATCCACCATTGTCCACCAAAATGCAACCTTAATCCAGGGAAACTGGTACTGGTAACAAAAATAATTGAATCCATCATGTTCCAGCTGCTCATCCATACTGCATGTACTGTACTCAGTACATAGTAAGTGCCCCTCCTTTACCACTCAGTACCAAAATGAAACAAATGTATACAAACAGCATTAACAGAGAAAAAATATGGAGTCTGGTGTGCACACACCCGAATTCAGAATATTTAAAAAAGCTCTAATGTAAAGTTGGACTTATCTAGATCGGAAAAAATGTTATTTGACATCTAAAGCAGATTTAATTGATATCAAATAGGTAAAAAGCTCTGCCTCACTTCCATGGATTTATATAATTTATTTATAAAGGAAAACATATATATAATTAAAAACCAATTGTTCAGAGAACAATTGTAGGTCTTTCCACAAAAAAACAAGAATTTTGATATGAAAATAGTAAAAATTCGGTTTAAAATGTCATTTCCAGTGTCAAATGATAGCTAATAGTACGCTGATTCCAAAAATATATGGTTTCTATACAATATTTTTTAAATAAGGGAAATAATTTGTTACTTCCAGTTTGAAAAAGGTTACTTCCGGTATTGTTTCACTGTTTAATTGACACTGATTCCAAAAATATATGGTTCTATATACTTTTACATTCAAAAAGTACAAAAAAAAAAGCTACTTCCAGTTTACACAGGTTCACTTCCGGTTCGTTTTTGAAGGTCATATGGCTTGCAACTAAATGCAAAAAGTCCCATGGCTTTATCATGTATACAAATGAGGTAAAAGCAAAGGTCAAAATCTAGAACGTCAATTTAAAATATGACCTTGGGCTCAATTTAAAGGTCATCAACCAAGGACCTCAAATCAAAAGACCCTAGATCTTAATTATATTTGGTTCATGAGTTATATCACCATATGCATCTTTTTAAATAAAGAGGGGAGAAAACTCTTATTTGATGTAAGCGCACCCTTTAAACCAATATGTATGTGTTACGACATGTCGCATCTTGCAATTAAGTAAAAATATTTTGTCGATATCTTATATCGTGTTTGAAAAGTGGTGAAAATATGCCAAAATCCAAATTTAGAAATGACCTTGACCTTTGACCTTGACCCTATTTTCGTTTTTTTGGACCAAGGATCTCAAATCAAAAGACACTAGGTCTTTATCACTTATGGTTTACAAGCTACAACTACATTTTTCTTATTAAAAATACAAAAGGGGAAATAACTCCCATATGTAGTCTCCAGACCGCTTCGGTCAAAATTATTTTTAAGATCCTGAAGATATAACAAGCAAATTGGTGAAATAATTTTGTCGTAATCTTTTACGGTTGCGAAGGAGATTTGTACACAAGAAAAACAGTGTTTGGGGAGATTACTCTAACAATAAAAAGTGTACGGCTTAACAGGGTCAGTTTCAAAATCGTAATAACTGTTTGATATCATATGCAAAAAATCTAAGCGACATCTTGCGAAACAAAAAAGCACCGTCAGAAAAAAGTGGCGGAAGAAGAAAAAAATAATAATAATTAAAAACCAATTGTTCAGAGAACAATTGAAGGTCTTTCCACAAAAAAACATGTATTTTAATATGAAAATAGTAAAATTCGTTTTAAAATGTCATTTCCAGCTTCAAATGATAGCTTATTGTATGCCGATTCCAAAAATATATGGTTTCTATACAATATATGTTGAATAAGGGAGTTAATTTGTTACTTCCGGTATTATTCAAAAGTTTAATTGACACTGATACCAAAAATATCTGGTTCTATAAACTTTTACATTAATTAAGTACAAAAAAGAGCTACTTCCGGTTTACACAAGGTCACTTCCGGTTGGCTTTTGTAAGGTAAAATGGCTTTAAAAACTAATGCAAAAAGTCCCATGGATTTATCATGTATACATATGAGGTAAAAGCAAAGGTCAAAATCTAGAACGTCAATTTAACCTATGACCTTGAACTCAATTTCAAGCAAGGACCTAAAATCAAAAGACCCTAGGACTTAATTATATTTGGTTCATTAGTTATATCACCATATGCATATTTTTAAATAAAAGAGGGGAGAAAACTCTAATTTGATGTAAGCATACCCTTTAAACCTATATGTATGTGTTACGACATGTCACAACTAACAATTAAGTAAAAATATGTTGTCGATGTGATGTCTTATATCGTGTTTGAAAAGAAGTGAAAATAAGCCAAAATCCAAATTTAAAAATGACCTTGACCTTTGACCTTGACCCTATTTTCTTTTTTTTGGACCAAGGACCTCAAATCAAAAGACCCTAGGTACCTATCACTTATGGTTTACCAATTACAATTACATTTTACTTATTTTAAATACAGAAGGGGAAATAACTCTCATATGGAGTTTCTGGACCGCTTCGGTCAAAATTATTCTTAAGATCCTGAGGATATAAGGAACAAATTGGAGACATAAATTTGTCATAATCTTTTACGGTTGCGAAGGAGATGCGTACACAAGAAAAACAGTATTTGGGGAGATAACTCTTACAATAAAAAGTATTCCGCTAAACAGGGTCAGTTCCAAAATCGCAATAACTGTTCGATATCATACACAAAAAATCTAAGCGACATCTTGCGAAACAAAAAAGCACCGTCAGAAAAAAGTGGCGGAAGAAGAAAAAAATAATAATAATAATCAGAAGAAATCCAATAGGTCTTTCCACAGAAAAGTGGAAAGACCTAATAATGAAGCAATCTAAATTTGCTATTAATGTATTTACATGTATAATTAAGAATATAAAAATAAGGAGATATGTATGTTTTCTTTATAGGTGCAACAGTTTTATCTTGGGAAAATCGTGGTAAAGAAATTTTGTTTCTAAGGTAAGATTTTCCTCATAATATACATGTACATGATATAAGATGTCACTCTGACCCATATAAATTTTCATTTGATACTTCATTGAATCATTCACCTTGGATATATGTGTTATATCAAATTACAAAAAAATAAATATATGTTATACTCATGATTCTACAACTCTACAATGTTCTATGCAACCACAAAGGAGTAGGCCCAGTAAGACCCCTTTTGGCCCAAAAATATAGCTTTGGGCATTTTTGTTAAAAAATGTAAACTTTTAGCAATTTATTGGAAAGTAGAATACTTTTGTTACATAAATATGGACTGTTTTTTTTACAATACAATGCACATGCATCAGGTACTATCTAGCATCATTAATTCATGCAAAATTACTGAAATCTTCACAATTTTAGCATTTGTGCTAATTTTTAGACGTTTTTTGTCTAAAATGGAAGTGGCCGCACTTGCGTTCAGTCTTAATGTTTAAATATATGTTGTATTTGATGATAATACATAACATATAAAGGTTGAGACTAAACACGAACATGCGGCCACTTACATTTTAGACAAAAACCATCTGAAAAGTGGCGTTTTATGGCATATTTGATAAATTTTTCATATTTAAGCTTGAATTTGAGCATCTTTAATGACCAAATCAGTTCAAATCTTATACATAAACTAATTGAATTGACTGAAGTAGACACTTGAGTGTTTAAAAAATGTCAAAAATCTTTCATCAGAATATATATATGTACTTCAAATTTTAGGCCAAAATTAGCCCTTTCTTTTTGTATTGTTCAGGAAATCATATCAGACAATTTGCCAGCCCAAGGTCAAAGTGAATATTGACTTGCCCATGCACTTGCAAATAAATTCTAAAAGTATGAAAATTCACCAGCAAAAGTGATTTATTTATAACATTCTGATGTAAGCTTGTCATATGAATAAAAGGAAATGTTTGGCATATATGTCAGTGAGACAGCAACTAACAGCTCAAGAAAACCAACACATTTATGCCTTTATTGCCTTACAAAAATAAAACATGGTTGAAAAAAGTATTGATTTGAAATATACTTGTATATCAAACTCCATATCAGTATTCTGTTTTATAGTTACAGAACAAAATAGGGAAGCAACCAAAGTAAATGTTTAATTGTCTAATTCTGCATATCTGAATTGACGATATAAAATATGGCTATCTGCTTTGTTTCAGAAGGATTGCCATACTTCATGTACATTTGTATGATACTTATGATAAAAAATGTTAGTATGTTTTGATTTTCAGTGAAAATGCAGTTTTCAACAACAAAAAAGCAATAAGAGGTGGAATTCCAATTGTCTTTCGTAAGTTTATTTATTTTCATTTTTTTTTAATCTACAAGACTTAGTACTGCACATTTTTGTAGATTAATGATTTATGTATGTCACACTATTAAGTCTATTTTACTTCAAAATTCATTCTGATATTAAGATTTCTTGGTACATGTATGTGTAATCCATCAGTTGTTACCAATTCCACTTCTATTGCCTCAAACTACTGAATCAAATGTCAGAGACAAAACTAAATCAAGGCATAAATATTTCATATGATAACCATTTATAAAAATATGAAGGTGTGGTATGATTGCCAATGAAATAATTATTCACCAGAAACCATAGGATTAGGATGTAACAATAATAGGTTCCAATAAGGCCTTCAACCATGTGCAAAACCTTTACTGTATAGTAAGCTACATGCAAAAGGAGTCCAAGCATGACAATTGTGAAATTCCAAAGAGAAATTAACAGCCTTATTCATGAATGTTTGTTACTATGTTAATGAGAGGATAACAAACATAGGGACCATTGTTAGAAATAGTTTTCTTCTGATTTTCTTTAGGTTGAAATATCTTCATCCTTTTGATATTAACTCAACCAAATGAAACAAATGATAACAGAAAGATTTTGTTTATATTCCAACAATGTGATAACCATGTTTTTACATTGGTGTCTGTTTGTCTTATTATATAGTCACCAGCAAGAGACTAACCATAGTTTTACATTGAAGCTAATAGATGTGGAAAATTAAGAAAAAACTTTCTATACATGACAAAACATTTTTTGTATGATACTTAATACCATTAGAATGTTGTTAGCATGTTGCATATTTGCTAGGTTCAACTTAATATAGACTTGTTTCCTGTCTCCTGGCACCATAAAATAGGGTAAATAGGTGTTTTTTTACACATTTTGTAACTTCTAGTCAGGATAAAGTTTAATATTAAAATCATCCACTTTCAAATGATATATGTGATAAACCCCAAAAATGCAGATATTAAATAGGTTCTTGACTAGTAGTATTTTCCTTTTTTTCAGCTTGTTTCGGCCCATGGGAGAAAGGACCACAGCATGGCTTTGCTAGAATTAAAAGATGGCAAGTAGAGAGTCCTCCAAAGGTATGATAGTCCCCTGTATAGAGGATCAGTAATACATTTCAGGATTTATATATCCTTATGGCTTATTCTAAAAATAGAGTGAATATATTGAAAAAGTGATATGATTAGAATCTGAATTATGGTCATACCGATAGAACTAGAATAAAAAATGTTCATCACATTAAGGTTCTCTTTAAGGGGAGACAATTCAAATGTCTTTATTATGACACTTATATATACACAGGGAGATGTGGTATGATTGCCACTGAGACAACTATCCAAAGGATTAAAATGTAAACAACTATAGGCCACTGTATATTTTCACAAATGACCAAAATCCATACAATAAAGTAAGATGTAAAAGGCCCTGAAAATGTGAAAAAATTCAATAGAGAAAACCAATGGCCTGATTTATTGTACTTAACTTACTGTGAGTTTATTGTCTTTGTTACACAGTCACATAAGCAAGACATAGGCAAGCTGTTTCTATTGTCGACATTGTTAAAGTTTGTGATAAGTATATAGATAAGATGATGTGGTAAGATTGCCTTTGAGACAAATATCCATAAAGATCAAAGGACAAGAATATGAATAACTACACATCTCCGTTCTGGCCTTAACCAATTAACAAAACAAATACCATATAGTAAGCTATAAAAGGCCATGGTATTACACATGGTATTACGCAATGTGAAACAATTCAAAAGAGAAAACCACCGTCCTGATATTCTACAACCATGATCAACAATGGCAGAGAGTAACCTATGACAACTACTGGATTACATCTTCCTGACTTTGGACAGGCACATACATAATGTGGAGCCAATGGGTTTAACATGTTTGTGAGAGATCAACCCTCTCTCTCTCTCCCTAACCTGGGACAGTGGTATAACAGCACAACATGATAAGAAGCTGTAAAAATCAGTGGGAAATGGCTTGACTCACCAGATCAGCACGAAGCACAAAAACAAATAACAAAATTATCAGATTGTGAGAATATGGTAAAAACATTTGAGCTTTGCTCCCAATATTTCTAGTTAACGTTACATTAAAGATTGAAATAAAAATTGTTGGATTGCTGTCTCTATTATTTTATTTGATAGGAACTTTTAAGATGATTGAATTCTGTTTGTAGGAAGAGAATGGCAATATTGTTTGTTGTTTATCTCTAAGTGATGATGAAGAAACCAGACAAATGTGGAACTATCAGTAAGTCATTGGACCTCTATAGACCCATTACATGTATATAAGATTACAAGACAAATTCGAACTATCAGTGAGTAATTGTACTTCTATCAGCCCTTTACATGTATATAAGATTACAATGAGTAATTGTACTTCTATCAGCCCTTTACTTGTATATAAGATTACAAGACAAATTCGAACTATCAGTAAGTTATTGTACCTCTATAGACCTTTTACATGTATATAAGATTACAAGACAAATTTTAACTATCAATGAGTCTTTGTATTACTATTAGCCCTTTACATGTTTAAAAGACAAATGTGGAATTATCAGTGTCATTGTACTTCTATCAGCTCTTTACATGTATATAAGATTAAAGTACAAATATGAAACTATGAGTGAGTTATCCTAGTTCTATGGAAAATCCCAAGGACATCTAGAAGTAAAGGTGATGATATTGTAGATTGCAAAATACAATTGTTTTTTCCCATAGGCGACAATAGTAAATACAATTGTTTTTCCCATAGGCGACAATAGTAAATACAATTGTTTTTCCCATAGGCGACAATAGTAAATACAATTGTTTATCCCATAGACGACAATAGTTGCCTTCTTCAAGATACAGATTTAGAGCTGATTTCTAGAACGAAACCATAGTAAAATTTAAGAAAAGTTATAAGGACAGTATTTGTTAATCAAAAAAAAAATATAGGATCTCGTTGCTTTTCTAAACGCAATTGTTTATTTATCTCCTTTGCCTGTCTTTTCTGCACTTGAAAATATGTTTCTCATTACAGTGTAGAAAAGAATTCTCAGTTCCTTACGAGCTAAGGAAAATATATTATTTTGCGTTTGGTATAATGCAGAGTTCACGGCGTGTCTAGTAATAAAAAAATTTGGCTGCAAACAATGACCAATCAGTTCTAACCTTTACTCCTAATTCTGAATACCATCATAAAATGGCTGTGCCCATGTTACTCAACTGTTGTAACCTGTAAGTATCTGGACTGTATGGCAGCTTTTAATCCTTCCAAGTCTTAGACATGTTGTGAATAGGTTCAGCAAAGAGGGTCATATATACGACACTGACATCAATTATCTTTTAACTATCTTATTTTTTTTTTCAGATTTAAACTTTTGTATACAATACAGTTAGGAGCATCATCATTGACATTAAAACTTACAATATGTAATACAGGTAGGACTGTTTAATGTACTCATTTTTATACGCCCGTCAAATTTTTGACGGGACTTATTATGGTATACAAATGTCCGGCGTCCGTCTGCTGTCTGTCCGTCTGTCTGTCCGTCCGTCTGTCTGTCTGTCTGTCCGTCTGTCTGTCTGTCCGGCGTAAACATGTCGCACCGTAACTTGAGAATGACTTATCCAAATTTCATGAAACTTAACATAGTTGTTTCTTATGATGGTCAAACGATCTGTATACTTTTTGGTGATAATAAGATTAAAACTTTTTGAGTTACGGGACTTAGTAACTAAAACAGGTGTGTGGTTTTTTTCACATGTCGCACCGTATCTCAAAAACAATTTATGATTATTGCTTAAAACTTTACACACTTCTTAGTTATATTAATCTTAAGATCTGTATACTTTTTGGTGATGATTCAAAATTTTATTTTAGAGATATTGAGTATTTTGTTAAAAAAGGGGAGGGGTTTTTCACATGTCGCGCCGTATCTAAAAAACAGTTTATGACTATTGCTTAAAACTTTACACACTTCTTAGTTATATTAACCTTAAGATCTGTATACTTTTTGGTGATGATTCAAAATTTTTATTTTTGAGTTATTGAGTATTTTGTAAAAAAAGGGGGAGGGGTTTTTCACATGTCGCGCCATATCTCAAAAACGATTTATGATTATTGCTTAAAATTTTACACACTTCTTAGTTATATTAATCTAAAGATCTGTATACTTTTTGGTTTTGATTCAAAATTTTATTTTAGAGATATTGAGTTTTTTGTAAAAAAAAAAGGGGGTTTTCGCATGTCACGCCGTATGTCAGAAACTATTTATGCTTATTGCATAAAAATTCACACACAAGACGACGGGCGTATCATGCGCTCATGGCGCAGCTGTTTATTATATTAATAAATTTATACTTTTTGTTTGAATTCAATATTCATTCAGCTTATGTTAAAGAAGCAATATCAATTTAATGTTGTTAAATGGAATGTGAATTAATGGAGGTATGTTATTCATGATAATGACAAAGTTTTAAAATCTTTGGTTAGTAAATTGATAAAATGACATGATATGTTTATATCTAACCAGTTTTATCAATTTTGATATACCACATGTTGATTAAATTTTGTCGGATGTAATTTGCCGCCATATCTATTCAGAACTTTGCACTCTACATTTTCCATTAAATCATTGGAGAAACTGATTCTTCCTCTTTACACTGAAAATTGTCTGAACAAAAGAAAAATTCCTGAAGTTTTTACAGAAGTTCCCCAAAACTTTGTTTGCAGGGGCCGGTTATAAAAAAGTTCAGCGGGAGGGAACATCATGCCATGGACCCCCTTAAGACACTTCATGACAAAAATAAATTTTATAGGTTACTACTTTTTGTTAACTAGATATCAGAAAATTAATGAATACTAATACACAGTGAAAGCTTATACAGTTGTCACTTTATAGGAAAGACTCACCAAACATTGCCATGATGCTATTGGAACATCAGTACATACATGAATTTTTCATTGGCATGGATATTTATTTATTGATTTTTTTTCAGGAAATAAAGAATTTGATTTTACTACATTAATGCATACATACTTTAGAACAGGTGATATATCACATGCATCCATTTCTGGTTTAGAACAACTCTCATATATAGACAAGGTTTGTACTTAACATTAGACAAAATCTGCAATCAGGTCTTATATTTATATTACAGAAATTTAAAATAATAAGTATAGTAAATTAGTGTTAATGATCAACCATCAAATTATTTCTGTATTGTCTGGAGATGTACCTGTTGTTTAACATGTATAATCAATGACAGCACTTGCTTCAAACATTTGTAAAAATGGTAACTGGTTGCATTTGGTTTATCTTGTGAAATAAGTATACAAAATATAAATTATGACAAAATGAAGACCTACTGTACATTAAAAAAAATAAAGAAATTCATTTATAGATTCAGCATAAACTTCAAAACTCTAATATCTCTCTGCAGTATTTGTTCACATACATAAAAAGATGTAACATCATTTCTAAAAGTTACCAAGATCCAGAGCTTTAATTTTGTGGCAGTACAAAGTTCCTAAAAAATGTAAAAAAACTCAATAGAGAGGGTGTATTAAACAATGTATGCTTCAGTTGCTATATTGTTTCATGTTTGAAGCATGAGTTTTATCCACATACTATATATACATGTTTAAACTTGTTTGGTAAGATTGAATTTGAATTATTGTGCTATCTATTCTAGATATATTGTATAAGTACAAGTTTGCAGAATGTCCTTGAATTTAAAATTTTTAGTCAAAGTTTTTTCTTATTGTGAATAAAGTTTAAATGTTGCAGTAAAAAGTAATAAATTTACATTGTGACAAATGCATTCTGGATATGACATAGATAGCTTTTTTACCCTGATGTTGTAACTGGTTTCTAGTGACTAGCCACACATACATTATTTATACTGTTATAATATGCTTTTATGAAAAAATAAACACTATCTTCCAAGTTTTACTGAAATTTAGTTTGATAAGAGTAGCAAAAGTTATCACTTTGATTAAGCGTTAATGAGAGTATCAAGTAGCCTTTTAGTTCAGTTATTTTCTTTTGATATACCAGAATGTTGTGAAGTGATTGTTGACAGAAAATAAATGAGCTATAGGCATGGATATTGAATCTTGTATTAAATAAAATTCAAAGTAAAATTCTATAATTGTATGAGATGGCAACCCAACTACATAAATAATCAAAAGACATCTAGAGGGCAACATACAGACTTCTTCAACAAACAGGTGTCCATACACTATGTCCTGTTCCAAATTGTTCAAAATCTAAAAAAAAGTTGTTAATAAATGAAACCAAAAGTATCAAAGATGTGCTATAAATTTTTCAATTAACTATTATCATTAAGATTTTACATAAAACAACCACAGACCATGTTCCTGCCATGTCTATTTTTCTGTGATTCATTAAAACAGGTAGCTGATGGAAAAGAAGAGGTTGAAAAAAGAGAATTTGTTGTTATCCCAGAGAATTATGATAGGCAAGTACATTGGAGTTCTTATTCACTGTGAGTTTTATGTTTTTTATATAAGATATCTAAAATGAAAAAGAAAGGATTAGGCGTATTATTTCATGACACTTAATCCCTAAATGCACTTGGAAGCTAAGGAACAGAGGCAAACAGTTTGTGGATAACATTCCAGCGTATCATTAATAACTAATCAATATATATGTAATAACAGGTTTTATTTTATAAAAGGGAGATAATCAAAATATTAAGAATGGGTTATTTCTCTAACAAAGTAGAGAACAAAATGTACCAGTCCTATGGTTGTTCTTTGTTAAAACTCAATTTATCCCTATATGTGCTGACACAGCATTAAATTTCCACCAATCAATCAATACTTATTCAGTATTTTTATTTGTAGAGTTTACAAAAATTGTCCAAGTGAAATAATAGTAAAAGGAGTAACAGAGAAATCTTGTGATGTTTTAATTAAAACTCATAATTTTCCTGACATAGGTAAGAAATGTAGACATCAGATATACATAAATATTTCTTTTCAGCTTTTTTCATGGACTGATGGAATTACCTTACAAATAAAATTTGCCAAACTTGTCCCTATGTAATTTAGGACCATGCCTGATGGCATCACAAAATAAGAACACATCTTAAAGCAGATTATTGGAAAATAAAATAAATATTGTCTAAAAATCATTAGAGAAACAGATTTTACCACCATTTCAGGCCTCTTCTCTCTATCTGTGTTTGTGATTACACATCATGTAGTGAGGTGAACATTCTTTATATCCTATCCTTGCTAATGTCAATCAATTTATTTCCAATATATGTTAGATATTAAAGTAACAAAATGATGTGTATGTGTATTACCGTGCTTGTCATGAAATTTTTTTATTAAAAAATTACATTAGAAGCATACTGTATAAATCTAGTCCACTACAATTAAGGACAAAGGAAGACAACTCAATTCAAAATATTCTCTAAATTGGTTCTTAATCTAAATACTATGCAGGGTTTAATTTTATGTTAACAATGAAAAATGAAAACAACCTTTACTCCTTAGACCTCACAAGACTTTGATTTTAAGGTGCTTTTGTAAAAAACAATAACTAATAATAAATGATTTACAGCTTTCATAAACATTATAAAATGATAGACTATTTCCTTTGTTTTTAGTGGTATGGAATCCTTGGGCTGATAAAGCCAAGGCAATGGCTGATTTTGGAGATGACGAATACAAGACAATGATATGTGTGGAGGCTGGTTATGTTAGTAAACCTGTTACCATAGGTCCTGGATCTGAACTACACTTTAGTCAAACACTATCAATGCTTTAATATATTTTGTCAATGATTAAACTGCAAACTGAGGGCCACATAGAATGAATTATTATAGCTTTATCCTCTCATTTCCTTCCAGTTGTTGTTTTGGGTTTTTTCTGTTACATTTTCTCAAATACTTCTTTAAAGTTCCCGTCAACTTTTGTGAAATATAGGGGAAAAAAGTCCTCATGTTATTGTGGAAGAAATAATAGCATCTAAAAAATCATTTTATTTGGCCTGAATATTATTTTATATGACATTTTATTTATACTTTATGTATGCATGTTGGGACTTATTTTTATATGTATTTTCAATGGTTATTTAATGCATTTATATATATATATATATATATATATATTTATCATGTTTATATACATATACTATGATCTACAAATATTGTAGTGTTTATGAACTTAATTGTTTGTTGTTATTTATATCATATATTGACAATATTATTTCGTAGGGTAGCAATAATAAAAGTTAACAGAATTATAAAGTTTTTATATTACAGTGAATCTTGTCCGGCAGTGTACTCTTTCCTTCATAGTAAATTTACTACTTTTGAAAATTCAATGATGGATATCCCTAGGGTTTATAATCCCGACCGAATAAACACACTAGTGTGAAGTAGAAATATTCTAGGCATTTCATGAAATGCAAATTCTACATCCTAAAAAGATAGTATGCTTACATTTACATAGATATATGTTTATACAGTAGTTATGTACATCAGAATATGATTTAAATGAGGTGCCATGAAAATGTTTTTGCACCGAAAGTGTATCAGGTTTAGTTTGAAAAAGAGTCATTTGATTGTGGTATGTTCTGCAGTATGTCTTATAAATCAGTGGATTGTGGTATGTTCTGCAGTATGTCTTATAAATCAGTGCATTGTGGTATGTTCTGCAGTATGTCTTATAAATCAGTGCATTGTGGTATGTTCTGCAGTATGTCTTATAAATCAGTGGATTCTGGTATGTTCTGCAGTATGTCTTATAAATCAGTGGATTGTGGTATGTTCTGCAGTATGTCTTATAAATCAGTGAATTGTGGTATGTTCTGCAGTATGTCCTATAAATCAGTGCATTGTGGTATGTTCTGCAGTATGTCTTATAAATCAGTGCATTGTGGTATGTTCAGCAGTATGTCTTATAAATCAGTGCATTGTGGTATGTTCTGCAGTATGTCTTAAAAATCAGTGCATTGTGGTATGTCCTGCGAAAGTCTTATAAATCAGTGCATTGTGGTATGTTCTGCAGTATGTCCTATAAATCAGCGGATTGTGGTATGTTCTGCAGTATGTCCTATAAATCAGTGCATTGTGGTATGTTCTGCAGTATGTCCTATAAATCAGTGCATTGTGGTATGTTCTGCAGTATGTCTTATAAATCAGTGCATTGTGGTATGTTTTGCAGTATGTCTTAGAAATCAGTGCATTGTGGTATGTTCTGCAGTATGTCTTATAAATCAGTAAATTGTGGTATGTTCTGCAGTATGTCTTATAAATCAGTGCATTGTGGTATGTTCTGCAGTATGTCTTATAAATCAGTGCATTGTGGTATGTTCTGCAGTATGTCTTATAAATCATAAATCAGTGCATTGTGGTATGTTCTGCAGTATGTCTTATAAATCAGTGCATTGTGGTATGTTCTGCAGTATGTCTTATTAATCAGTGCATTGTGGTATGTTCTGCAGTATGTCTTATAAATCAGTGCATAGTGGATTATTCTGCAGTATGTCTTATAAGTCAGTGCATTGTGGTATGTTCTGCAGTATGTCTTATAAATCAGTGCATTGTGGTATGTTCTGTAGTAAAAAATGTATGTCTTATAAATCAGTGCATTGTGGTATGTCCTGCGAATGTCTTATAAATCAGTGCATTGTGGTATGTTCTGCAGTATGTCCTATAAATCAGCGGATTGTGGTATGTTCTGCAGTATGTCCTATAAATCAGTGCATTGTGGTATGTTCTGCAGTATGTCCTATAAATCAGTGCATTGTGGTATGTTCTGCAGTATGTCTTATAAATCAGTGCATTGTGGTATGTTTTGCAGTATGTCTTAGAAGTCAGTGCATTGTGGATTGTTCTGCAGTATGTCTTATAAATCAGTGCATTGTGGTATGTTCTGCAGTATGTCTTATAAATCAGTGCATTGTGGATTGTTCTGCAGTATGTCTTATAAATCAGTGCATTGTGGTATGTTCTGCAGTATGTCTTATAAATCAGTGCATTGTGGTATGTTCTGCAGTATGTCTTATAAATCAATGCATTGTAGTATGTTCTGCAGTATGTCTTATAAATCAGTGCATTGTGGTATGTCCTGCGAATGTCTTATAAATCAGTGCATTGTGGTATGTTCTGCAGTATGTCCTATAAATCAGCGGATTGTGGTATGTTCTGCAGTATGTCTTATAAATCAGTGCATTGTGGTATGTTCTGCAGTATGTCTTATTAATCAGTGCATTGTGGTATGTTCTGCAGTATGTCTTATAAATCAGTGCATAGTGGATTATTCTGCAGTATGTCTTATAAGTCAGTGCATTGTGGTATGTTCTGCAGTATGTCTTATAAATCAGTGCATTGTGGTATGTTCTGCAGTATGTCTTATAAATCAGTGCATTGTGGTATGTTCTGCAGTATGTCTTATAAATCAGTGCATTGTGGTATGTTCTGCAGTATGTCTTATAAATCAGTGCATTGTGGTATGTTCTGCAGTATGTCTTATAAATCAGTGCATTGTGATATGTTCTGCAGTATGTCTTATAAATCAGTGCATTGTGGTATGTTCTGCAGTATGTCTTATAAATCATAAATCAGTGCATTGTGGTATGTTCTGCAGTATGTCTTATAAATCAGTGCATTGTGGTATGTTCTGCAGTATGTCTTATAAATCAGTGCATTGTGGTATGTTCTGCAGTATGTCTTATAAATCAGTGCATTGTGGTATGTTCTGCAGTATGTCTTATAAATCATAAATCAGTGCATTGTGGTATGTTCTGCAGTATGTCTTATAAATCAGTGCATTGTGGTATGTTCTGCAGTATGTCTTATAAATCAGTGCATTGTGGTATGTTCTGCAGTATGTCTTATAAATCAGTGCATTGTGGATTGTTCTGCAGTATGTCTTATAAGTCAGTGCATTGTGGTATGTTCTGCAGTATGTCTTATAAATCAGTGCATTGTGGTATGTTCTGCAGTATGTCCTATAAATCAGTGCATTGTGGTATGTTCTGTAGTACAAAATGTATGTCTTATAAATCAGTGGATTGTGGTATGTTCTGCAGTATGACTTATAAATCAGTGCATTGTGGTATGTTCTGCAGTATGTCCTATAAATCAGTGCATTGTGGTATGTTCTGCAGTATGTCCTATAAATCAGTGCATTGTGGTATGTTCTGTAGTACAAAATGTATGTCTTATAAATCAGTGGATTGTGGTATGTTCTGCAGTATGACTTATAAATCAGTGCATTGTGGTATGTTCTGCAGTATGTCCTATAAATCAGTGCATTGTGGTATGTTCTGCAGTATGTGTTATAAATCAGTACATTGTGGTATGTTCTGCAGTATGACTTATAAATCAGTGCATTGAGGTATGTTCTGCAGTATGACTTATAAATCAGTGCACTATGATTGTAGCTGCTGTACATCTTTTGATTGGACTTTCCAGGGTAGTAAAGATTTACTGAAGGTAGAAAACTATCTTGTATGTAGGTCATATACATAAGTGATAAGTGAAGGCATTTTCTTTTTATGGCCATCACCCATACAATTGCTTTTTACTTTGCATACATAACCACACAATTTGAACTTCATGACCTGCCCCCACCCAAACAAAAATAATTCAAGTGCCATTTCCCCCAATATATTTTTTTTTCTGGAATAGCCCTGAGAACATACCAAAATTGGATGCAAACTTAAATAAGTCTTCACCAAATCATTTAAAATTTTGAGATGTTGTTATGGGACATGCATCAATAAGACAGCAACCCAAAGACACACACACAAAATACATCTGTAGGTCAACATAGTCTTCAAAAAATAGACAGGTGTGTAAAAATGTGATATGTCAAATCTATTTTATTTGATATTGACAGGTTATGTACAATGTAATCAATTTGGTTACTTAAATAATATGTAGGTAGTACTTTTATCAGTCATTGTCAGTTCAGATGAGACGTCCTATACAAACTGCCAGTAGAGTATAAGATCCTAAAGGCTGCATCCAGGATTTTCAAAAAGGGAGAGGACAGAAAGGGCATACAGGAAAATAAGAAGAGGTAGTAAAAAATAAGAAAATGTTCTAAAAAAACACAAATATTCAGCCCTAAGGGCAGCTTAGCCCTTTGGTCCCCTTGGATTTGCCCTGATCCTATATTCGAGTTAGAAAAAAAATATTGTTGTGTGCACTGAAAGAAATAATTGTTAACCAACTGAAGGGTTTCTTTTTCATCCTATAAATATATTTGCATAAATTGAACACACATATATAAATTATTATGTTTATTCATCAATCCATTTTTTGACAGTTTGATCCAAATTGGAAGTATAGAAACAAATGTTTACATTGTACAACCTGTCGTTGTTGTCTGATTGGCTGGTTAGTTTTATGATTAAATTTACCACTAACACAAACATTTGGATCATAATTAGTTCTCACTATTGTGTCAATGTTGATTGGAACATTTAGTCGTAAATTTTCAAAATTGCACTTTTTTGTTGGAAAAACGTCAGCTTTTTTGTAAACAAACAAATCCTTGTATTGTTCTAAAGAATCCCATATATGCGTTTCATTTTCTTTAAATAGAAGTATATCAATGTATGGCCATCGGTAAGGTTCATCTTTTATGTCTGCACCATGTACAGAAAACATTTTCCACTGAGAATTTGCTTGATGATGCAATCCATAATCCTTAAGTCTATGGAATTCCTGTTTAAACTGATTAGATTGAGAGCTGTTAATCCAGACATCAATGTCATCATCCCAAGGTATTATTCCAGCATGTCGATAGGCTCCCAACAAACTACCTCCATATAACAGATATGTTAGCTTCAAAGAATCCATAAATATGGCAAATGTAGAGAGTATGTCGATCAACCATTTCTTCTCTGTTAAATTCATTTTGACATTGAAAACCGATAGGTTTGACTGAAGTTTGGAATTTTTTATGACTGAACTTAATTCAGTTTCTTTCTTGTTAAAATTTTTATCTACATCTATATTCATTACACTGTTTAAGTACAGAATTAGCAGTATTAACACAGAAGCTAACAGAAACAGAAAAAAAGACCTGGATTTCATTTCCACAATACATTATTACAAATCTGAAAAAAAAAAAACATCAATCATTTAATAGGACAAACAGTACAATAAACATGATAAAATAATAAATGTATGTGAATTATCATGACAACTATAATAAGGCCTTTACAAATACCTCTGTTTCTGCTACCAACCCTTATTTTTAGTGCCAACTCTAAAAATTGTT